ATTCACTTAACTTTGTTTTTTATGCGAACAATTGATGAATAGCCTCCTTTCAAGATGTGTAGCAAGAGTTCAAGGATTGTAAACAAAATCTTTAAAAACGTATGAGAATTGCCGTAACTTTGTATGAATTAGGTCATACCAAACACTTCCAGTGTATCCTGATCCAACCTATAACGCAATTACCAAATCAAAACACTTTCTACCTGTTTTGTTAGGGCCTTAAATCGTCTTTCTTTAGTGATGGAAATGCATTCTAAGCAACAACCCTGCACTCTTGTCCTATCTCTATGCCTTTCTGCAAGTTATAAGGGGGGTTTCGTAATTGTTTACAAGCGGATCAACGTTCTTGTGAAGCCGAAGACCTCGGCTTCAGGCTTAGCCGCAGGTGATGGTTATGGTGAATGCCCAAAGATGTGGAAGTAGATTATGAAGGGCTCACGACCATTTTGGACCAACTAAGGTTCTGCTGAAGTGAATCTCCCTTACATGATTGTGTTCATGAGCGCAGAACGCCACAGTATCAGATTTGATCCTGTACGAAGTGGAGAGATGGGCTTTGAAGTTCGACTTTCCCAACACATTAGTCTGGCTTTTGCAATTTTTTGGGGCACTTTGAAAACTCGCGGCAGAAATGATTCAAGAGCTAGACTCTCTACAACTTGCAGAATCGTAGAATATTTTCACTTTCTTACAGCATTGTTAGCATTTCTTAATTGATCGTTTGGAATTTTGTCATCATCTTAGTCAATCCCAGCCGCGACAAAGCATTGCTTGACGCATTTATCCAAACATATGGGAAGACTACAATCTATGTAGAGATTATTAACTTAAACTAATAAATACCCGTGATTCTGTGTACGCGGGGCCTATCAGCCAATAAATTTCTTCCACGTCCTACGGAGCCCATATAAGTGGCGACCACGGCAATCGAGGACTTCCCAAAACCCCAACTTACGGGCGAGAGACAAAGTATGTTGATGAAGCCTAAATTCTATCCGAATTGAGCAAACGATGTCGACGATTTGACTGAAATCTATTTCAGCCCTATACTCGTCCATTCGTTCCGCAGTGTCACGGTCCACATCTCAGTCTGTCATCCAACCTGGTTCTTCAGCGCCAGGGATGGCTGATGGTAAGATATGGGACCAACTTCTCAAAAAGGAAAGGACCACGACAAAGAATATACAATTGGATCTGATCCTACTAAGACCTAAAGTGCAGATCCAAATGAATACAGTCTATTACTATAGACAACATTGCTACGTTTGCAAAGGAGCACCAAAAGATTCCTGGGATTGAGTATGCCTCCCGCGAGGTTGTCATTACTTCCGCTGGAATTGAATTTGATTGAAATGAATCCCTTCTGTACCAGAAAACCAGATTTTACAAATTTCCTACTTACTACGTCATGAAAGACAAAACTGCTAACACACAACCTCAACTTGCCACGTCAATTCTCTCAACTGCTGCTGCGCATGAGCCCCCTACCGGTCAAATAGTGTCAAAGAAATTGTAGTTGCTTTTTGTCTAGCTATGTCTGGTCACACAGTTAGAGGTCCCCTGTTGGATCTAAATTCATCCAGAATGGATACATTGATCCGGTATTAGAAAAGGCAAAAATTGTATACGAGTGTGGGTCTCTCCTGGACTTTATGTCAAGCTGTCAAGACGACTTCATGGTAAGATTAGCCAATGGATCATACACTCGGATGACCAATCTTTTCAAAATGAGCAGTCTCAAGGACATAAAACCACCATTTGTGCTTCCAGCATTACCTATTCTACCTAAAGAGCGAGTGGTGAAACCATTTTATCCTTTCGAAAATGTGGGAATGGTAATTTTGGTCCGCTCTCCTACCGGACTAAGGATAAAATCACAGAAAAACATTGGGGACTTCTTTTTAGGCTTAGGTAGAAAGAGACAGGTAGAAAGTGTTTTGATTTGGTTATTGCGTTATAAGTTGGATCAGGATAATACATTGGAATGTTTGGTATGACCTAATACAAAGTTACGGCAATTCTCATACGTTTTTCAAGATTTTGTTTACAATCCTTGTACTCTTGCTACACATCTTGAAAGGAGGCTATTCATCCCAAACAATTGTATTTGATTGGAAATGCCGATGCGTAGAGTTTGGTTGCATGTTGAGGATGGTTCAAAGGAAAATACGTGTGATGGTCGGTAATGCAAGAGTGCGGGAGGGAGAGAAGAGATGTTAGACATTTCTTTTCGGTAACTTTCGGTAACAGGAACATGATAATGACCATTGTGAACACTCATATTTTCTTCCACACAGTGATGTACTTGTTTCTGTTGATTGCTGGAAATGTATTGCTCATGTGAGTAGTAGATGGGGAACTAGCAAGCTCTTTATTTCCTACTCGTACTTTTGCGACTGCGTCTTTCTGTGCGCAGTGAGTTGCATAGAGTATTGTTTTCTCCGTGTTTATTTCGTCGGGGCAGCGGGTGTTGATGGTACCGGCGAAATGGATGCTGAAGAGAAGAGTGATACATAGCAATGCACTCATTGTCTGTCTGGCTTTTGATCTTGCCATCATTTGATGAAGAGATGGAGGAGGGTTTGTTGGAGGTAGTTCCTTGAAATGGTTTTGCGGATTGGATTTCCGATTTATAGATCATATTTTTGGGTCTCGTGATTATTCGACTAGATGGTAGTAGTATTTGTACCGATCGTTTGAAATCATCATGTAACCTATGACTTGGCCCATTTCCCATCCAGACATTTTGTGAGCATTTCTGACTCTCCATAGCGACAGCAGAGTTTCTCGTGTTGTTGTGACCGGTGTCCATTCGTCTGATGTCTCTTCTGGATAGGATCCAGCTAGTTTTGCGTATGGGTGAAGAAAGTCGA